TTAATATGACGATTTTAGTCTCTGTAATCCAAAAATATTCTTGGTAGACAAATCTCACAGCAATCTTATTGGCAAATTAAATTTATTTTGTAAAGACTACATCAAATGCATTTCGGGCTGGTCTAATATTTTCCAGTCCCTCTTCAGTGCTAAAATAATAACAAAGAACGTAAAATGTTTAACTAAAACACGACATAGATGTATATCTACACCAAAATTATAAATTTTGGAGAAAAACTTACAATAACCGCTGGTGGTAATTACAATGATATTTCCATGGGTAGGGGTGGTAAACTTTGTACACATTTGTAAGAATCCTAAAATTACAATTATCTTTTTTTGTATAAAACAATATAAGGCTAATACAAATAATATATTAAACAATACTTATACTTACAAGTTTAAAAAAATTTTTTCCACATACGTGTATAATAAACATACCAAAACCAACTAATTATTAAAAATTCATTGACAAACAATTGTAAAAATAATTCCAAAGCACTACAAATTTTTAACTTCATACCATCAACACTTTACAAAGTCACACAGTAGACCACCAACACTTTACAACCAGCCCGAAATGCATTTGATGTAGTCTTTACAAAATAAATTTAATTTGCCAATAAGATTGCTGTGAGATTTGTCTACCAAGAATATTTTTGGATTACAGAGACTATAAATTGGTTTTGACTATAAATTGGTTGACCCATAAATTGGGTTGAAAACGTTCGTTTTGTTTAATAAATATATGTTCTCAGCAATAAGGTGTGTTGGGTGTATCTAGTATATTAAAATTAATTACTAAAATTACAATTACTGTCACAGTCCTTGTCTCATTTCAATATATCAATTATTTTAATGAAAAAATAAATTATCTGTCTTCTTGTCGTCATCCTTTAAATTGTCAACGTTTTTGAATTGCTTTTAATTACGATTTTATCATTTAACATTAACAATACATATACGAGGCATTTTCATAATAATAATTTTTTCATCAATTAAGATTTGTTATTGTTTTAATTTCATATTATTATATAGTAACTTCAGTTATTTAGACTCAATCGTAATGAACAAAATATTTGTATATGCGATTATCATTTATATATACTTATATCGGCCTTGTATTGCAGGTAATTTTAATTTTCACTAAATGTTAGAATTGTTTCTTCTTGTTAATAAAATATTTATAAGTACGGTAAAAATCGCGTAAGTTTAGAAGAAACACTAAAAAACGTAAAAGTTTGTCACACTTCGTCTTCTTTTGCGCCTCGGAATCGATTAAATAGTCTAAAGAAGACCACGATGGAGTCGACCTTTGTTTTGAGGTTTTCATCCGCCTCAATATACAAAAGATGTTTAAAATGTTAAATAAATAAACGCGATATACCATTGTAATTATACAGTTAGTACAGAATTTTAGCATCGTTTACATGCTGAAGCAGATGATGAGCCTCAAAATAAAGGTCGACTTCGCTGTGGTCTTCTTTAAACTATTTATCCGATCCCAAGGTGTGAAAGCCACAATATGCTTAGCTTTTTTCCCTTTCTTGTTTTTATTTTTTGTTATATGTTGTTTTACGTGTTTTTGTTTTGGGCTTACTTGTTATCTGGAAGCGAAAAACTGTAGTCCTTACGTGACTTTCCCTGTGAAGATGAATTATGAAAGAACGTTTTACGTTATTTTTAGTGTTTCTTTTGAATTTGTGAACTTTTTACTTTAGTTATTCTCCTGTGTGTTTTAGTTTTCATCTTTAAGTACGCTTTTTTCTATGTTAATCGAAAGTTTGTTCTAGCAAATGGTGATTGTTCGGTCGAGTATCGAGTTACCACGAACTATATGCACGTACCTTTTGCCTTTTTTATAGCTTGTGCTTCCTTTTTTTATAGTCTGCGGACGCCACTGTACTCAAGGCAGATTATGCTCGATTTGGCTGTCCAATTGAAAAGTTTGGACATTATTGGTCTAGTAGTTAGGACTTTTTGTTGCGGCCGCAATAATCTAGGTTCAAATCCTAATCACGGCACTTCGTTTGGGCCAGATGGAGGCAGTAAGCTATTAGACTGTATGGGATCTAATCCGGACGGTTGAAAAACCCCAAGAATTTCACGGGGGTGTTGTCTCAGATATGTCAGGGAACGTCCTTTCATCGTTCGACAACTGCCTGTTGTGGACAGAACCCATGACTATCATGGGAGTGATCAAGGTGGCAGCCTACCGCTCTGGGAGACCATAACAAATATTTTAATTTTAATTTTGTCATCAGTAAAAAGCTTTCTGTGATAAAAATGAGTAATTAATTTTAAAATAAAATAAAACCTTAGAGTTTCCTTGGGGATTAATAAAAGGACAATCGACGACAACGGGGTGGGAACGTGCCCTAATTGTCCCAATATACAGGCGCCCCTGGATATGTCACTACTAGACCTCTATAAAATTATATAACTGTAAGAACAACATCCTCCTGTTGCTAGGGTTTCCAATACGAATATTTGACTATAAACAGAATGCAGTAGCTTACAAACTAATTTTCTATACAAATACCATAAACACAAGAATTCCGATTTTCTACACACGGCTTAAAATTTTTTTAAATTGAATTATATACACGTGTTTATTCAGCACTGAAGAGTGAGTTTTAATATTCACCTGTTGCAGAAAAATAATTTAATTGTCCCTGTTTTTTTGTCTAGTTTTAAAACATGAGCATGCGAGTTACCAATTTTAGTTGGTTAGATGCTAGGTAATTTATATCGCACAGATAGGAAGACACTTCAAACCAATTGTCTCGATGACACTAAACAGGCAAGATAGTTGATTTGGATTTTTGTAATTACCTGGGAAACGAAAGTTCTTTACCTTCCTACAAAAAAATCTGTAACCTAAGACGTTGTAAAGAATTACGTAACACTGTATAAAGAAACCATATCACAAGTGTTACTCCTTAACGTTGGTATAGATATCCAACGTTAAGGAGCTATCTCCAACCCCTTGGTGTTACGTAATCTATGGAAGCCCTATGATCAGACGTAACCATCAATCAATCGCCGATGATTGCATAAATCCTCGAAGTTGATTGGTTCGGTTTTATTCATGGGCGATCTGCCGAGGGAAATGCCTCCCAGGAGGTCTTTTATAGGGATCTGGCCCCTATTTGTGTTATAAACCCGAAGAAAACCAGATAAAACACGTGGCCATCTTGTTGGAGAGGCGCGCATCCACACCAACTGCCAGTGTCTGTGGTATTATCAACTGGTGGACTAGTTATAGTTGATATTTATCCAGTTATTTTAAAATAACAATAACAATCGATTACTGTTATCTACAAATAACTACTTTATCCATCACTAGTCTAGTATGCAGAAAAATGACGACAAGTTGTCGCTACACACACGAACTTAAATCCAGCTTTAAGCACAAGAATTTTAAATCGATCAATAGACCTATATTCCTGCATTATGAAATCGACATTATTTTGACATCAAAGAAAATATCCAAAAGTTATCTTTTGATTTTCCTTCTTATTATCTTATTTTTATTTTTGTCAGATGTAAATGTCGACCAATACGAACCAGAAGTTCTTAACTCCTTGATAGAAAAATTAGAAAACGCAAGAAAAGATTTATCGATTCGAATTCGTAAGATTGATCCGGAAGAGACAGATACTACTTTATCTAGTAAATATAATAGTGAAATATGTGTTGAAAATATCGATCAATATGTGGAAGAAATCGTAAACATGATGAAACAATTAAATTTACTAGTGCAATTATCAGATATTACTGTTGTGACAAAATTAGAATTTTATTTCATTCCTGTGGTTTTAATAATACTCCTGTTAGGGATTGCGGTAAGTTGGCATTGAATTATATCAGAAGATTCACTTAAAACATATTTTTAAATTGTTTGTTACACACGATATAAAACAGTAATAAATTACATATGGTCAAGAATTGAAGTTACCTAACATACTATTTAATAGTAAGATTATATTAAGTAATAATATTAAATTGTTGAATGTAACATTTAATGTTAATTATTTAATTTTAGAATTAATGAAATAAAGGAATTTAAAAATTTAAAAATTAACTACAGTGCAATCTCGGTAATCCGGCTGTTCTTTAGTTAGATACGCATGTAAGCTAATTCGACACTTGTCGACTCTCCAGTATTACTGACAATGGTTGTCAAGTCATAGCATGCTTTCTACTAGTTCAAACTCCAGTTTCCAGTAAATTTGAAAATCAGTGGTCGAGTGGATAAAATCAATGAACATTGGTTGTGGATTCGCGCCTCGCCAACAGGTGGGCCACGTGGAGTTTTCCGAGTTTTCTTCATATTTGTAATATCAAGCATGCTTCCCATTAAAGTTATCTCGGAAGACACTTCCCTGTTGGCAGATCTTCCAAGTGTCGCGTTTCCGTAACCAAATAAATGAAACCTTCCTACTAAACATGACATGATATCGACCTCAAGTTTGGGCACGATGTTAAAGATTGCAAGACTTGTCCTCTTAATCTGCTGAAAAAAGTACAGTATCTTATAAAACAATATGATAAAAATAAGCCCATCAAATATACTGTGCTTCCCATTAAATTTTCCATGGCAGCTTCAATTTTCCAGTAAATTTAGTGAGAATCCATGAATTCTGCCAATCACCAAACATCAAGCACTGAACAATGGTATCGCGCTTGATGACAAAATGGAAGACAATTGAAAAATTTTTAAGATAATTGGCAATTAATTCTAGAACTACAAAATACGGTAACATATAATTGCTTCCCTCTCATAATTGTTGTTATTCTAAATGGTTTTTGATTAATGCAATGTTCTAACACCATACATTTGCATGATATCAGAACAGCGTGTCAGAATAGATGTTAGAACATGACGTTAGAGCAGCGTAAATAAAACATTAGCATTATTTTAGATTGATTAATCATTGAATTGCGTTACTTCCAATAATGTGACGTTCTCTTTAATCCGACACTTTCCGGTCCCATACATGTCAGATTATCAGATTGTACTGTATTTAATTTCATATAATCTATATGGAATTTTTAATTCGCCACCCTAAGAACAGAAAATCATTTTATTGTGTTCAGAATGGTCCAGTCACATCTATAATAGAGACAATCGCACAATGAGAAACAGGAGGGGACACACTATCTCTGAAAATTTTTGAAGTTCCAACTCTCATTCCAGAGTTTTCAACTTTTTACCTATGATTTTGAAAAAATTTGATATCATAGACAAAGCAATTAACATTTCTCCAAAAAAGATGACTGCCAAAATTTTAATTAATTGAAACATAACGTTTTTGACAATTCTGATAGAAATAGTAAAGTAAAAGGTTAAATATGATATATGATTATTTTATCACATCCATTTTTTTTTCATTTGATCATTTTGCAATATACAGTGTAGTGTAGAACTGCGATTCCCAAATATGGGATTGAGACTCCAAGCGAGGTCATCAATTCTTCTTATGTAGTTGAGTAAACATTTTTTCATAAATATTATTTCTATGTTTAAAAAATCTTCAAAACTACAGTAGAGCCTCTATTATCCGACCCCCTATCAACCGACCCCTCGGTTAATCGACCGTCCTAGTCGGCAAATTTCAAATGATGTGGCGCTACAATATTTGGCTATGTCTTGGCTACTTTAATATTATTTTTACGTGTTTTATCTGGCAACACTGGATCGACCATGAAAGGGAGCCAGTATTTAAACGAGGCTTAACTTTCTAATTTTTAACGATACAATAGCGATGATTATTATTTTAAAAAATTTTTGTTAGGCTTAACATCGATGAAAATTCAACGCAAAGTAGGTTAATAGCGATATACTAATATACTAATTACATGGGATATAATAATATACTACACTAATAATGGATTTTTTCATACTTTTCGGTTATCCG